AATCGGATTTTTTCTCGCATGTTATACATACTGGGGGCAAAACATTTGGTGATCTAGCCTTCATGTCACTATTTTGGGGACCATCATTGTCAAGGGATGGGTGTAAAAGCTTCTTTGGTGGAACAGTCTGCAACTTTACAGCCAATTAAGTTTTCACTGCCTCATGTTCTCTTTTCCTCCACTTTTTGCAACTTGTTTTAATCACAAAGTCTTTTATAGCAGTTCTCATGATAATGCTAGTCAACTTCCCAGTGGCGTAACGGAACCTCCTGAGGCCCCTTTAATATTTTACGTGGGGCCGCCCTTTTTTTCAAAAATAAGTATGGGGGGAGGGGGGGAGAAAACATTTTTTCAAACCATATTCCTTAAAAATAACACATTTTTTCCTATCTATGTCTACCAAAAAAGGGGGGTCCAAATTTCACAATTTCACCAATTCCTGCTTTTGGGGGCCACCTGTTGCAAATTTTCTGACCCTATACACCTGAGGCTAAGGCCAACTTTCCCAATGTACTAGCAAAAAGTTTATGCTCATTTTTGCCGAGGAGGGGGGGGGGGGGGGTGGCAGGCATGGTATTCTGGCACCCAAACACCCTTCGAGTTCCCCACAGCAGTGAGAGTGTGAAAAATGCCTTTCTACATTGGGCTATCCATTTAATATCCACATCCCCCCTCCTATCGACAAGGTCAGTAAAATTTTAACCCCCAGGAAAAAAAATGATCAAACTGCTGACGTCCAGCCTGACACACAACCCCCTCAGATATTTGTAAATTTCCCCTTACCCCTCAGAACAATCAAGAACATCAAAGTATGCTGACAGGCTTAACCGCACAGAAATGACTTTGGGGTCACCGTTCAGAAAAATTCATCCGAAGAGGAGGGGGGGGGGGGGTCTGCACATTAAATGGAATGGCCCATCTTTGCTAGTAAAGAAGTCGGAATTGTGACAGATTTCTGATTTTTCAGTTTCGCCAATTCCTCACGGCAAGCAACAAATCTCTTCAGACGCTTCACTGTGACCTTTAGAAATGATTGTGAAACATCCTCAAAATGAATACAACATTTATTCAATTTTAAATGTTTGAGTGACCAGCTTGTTTCAGCCGCCATATTGCTTTTATCCACGCGTGGCAGCTATGTTGGCATGGAAACACGCGCGATTTCAAGATGCGTAAACCAAACATTGATCGATATTTTTGTGTGTTGGTGTAATGTACTCAGGTGAATATGATGCTTGTGATGTTATTCTGAGTGTATATCCACATATTCACCTGAGTACATTACACCAACACAGAAAAATCAAGATTATTATTAGATAACATTGATATCCAAGGAACTACATTCTGTTCCGAAATATCACATACTCGACCAGACCGCGTATAGCTCAGTTGGCACTTGGCAGAGCATTGGGCTAGTATTCCAAAGGTCGTAGGTTCGATTCCCACCGTGGTCAGACATATTTTTCAAGCTTGCCCGGTGTGGATATACTCGGGTTAACATCACAAGCATTGATCGATATTATCAAAGTTTCGAGTCTATTTTCTACCTATTGTGCACACTAGTGAACGGGGGCTTTGTATTTCCTGAACAAGGAGACTAATATGCATTGTGTTATGGCGGAATTTTTTAGCCTCGCGACATGTGCAACGAACGTGAAAGATAGATTAGATATGTGCAGGGTGTTAGCTAGCCCATATACTGTCCATTTGACGGACTCTTCCCAATTGAAGTAGCTAAGAGGCGTTCCCAACTGGGTCTACTGGAAGATTTTCATTTTTTCTGATGAGAAAGTGCATTGCGTTTGATTTTATATTATATTATTATATCAAAGAACGTTTTATTTACTTTTTCCCATTAACTATTTTCTCAAAATGTATCGCGTTTCACTCATATTGGGTGTGTATTCACTGAAATGAAATGTACAAAACAAAGTGTAATCGGTGTGCATCCGTGTTCATTCACCGGAAATGAAATATTCAAAACGAAATACCATCGGGTGCATTTTTTAGTGTTCATTCACCTGAAATGAAATGTACAAAACGAAGCTACCGTTGTTTGCATCTAAGGAGAAACACGTTGGGAAAAAACACTATTTATTCCTACAGAAGGACTTTGATCGGTCCAAAAAAACTTTCCCAATTTACGTTTAACGGACAAAACTTTTTTTCTGGCTGACACCCTGCAGTGACGGTCTAATATAAAGCTGCAGGGTTTGAAATAACGTTCTGAAAATATGTCATATTTTGGACGAAGTGACTAGATGACCGGCAGCCGACTATCTAGTAAACTTACTATACAAAATATAGTAAACTGACTATCTAGTAAACTGCCGGCTATATACTGACTATAATTAAAGTTAAATTTTTATAAAATAAACCGTTCCCTAATGCATCACAGTGAATTCTAGCATTGCCTATTTCCCAAGAAAAGCGTGGCAATGCCCCGCCCCCGGGCAAAAGGGGATGACAAATGCCCGGCCCCAGGGCACACTGACTAATTTATAGAATGTATTTTATACCTCAAACTTCCATAACAGTATTAGCTTCCTTGTATAAAAGCTACAGCAGTCATCCCAACATGAAAAACGTGCTTGTCGGTTCAGTGGTTAATATACAATAACAGCAAAATAAACAAGGACTGTACTATGAAATTCTCGTGTTTTTATGCTAAATAGTTAGTTAAACACAACTTTAATTAGTTTCTCATGTGCGATTGGTGTAACGTTTTGTGAATGAAAATATCGACAAAATCCTCGTTTTTACCCTTGAATTCTTCGACGCCATTTTAATATTATAGCATGTGTTCGTCGCAGAAACCTCCGGTCGAGTCAAATGCCCGGCTGGTAAACAATTCTCCGCCCCCAGGACAACTTTGCAAGTACCAATGCCCGGCCCCCGGGCAAAAGCTACTCCTCTCTCTTTGCCGTATGCGCTAACGGCAAGCTTGGTAAAACTACATTTCCTAAACCTACCATTCCACAGCGAAGTACCCTACGAAGAACGTTTAATAGCCTCCAACTTACTGCCAATTAGTTTCTGGCACGAATATTTAGATTTGGTACATTTTTTCAAAATGATTAATGGTTTGATCTATGCAAACAAAGATGTACTACCAGCAAGAAATCTTGGCAATGAAAGGAAAACGAGAGCAACAAGCAATCCAGATCTTATCTTGTTACGTACTAAAAAATGCAAGACTGTAACCTACCAGACCTCCTTCATCAACAGAACAACAAGAATATGGAACATTCTTCCTAATGAACTTAAACAACAGTCTCTTTCCTTGTCACATTTAAATATTTACTTTACAGATATTACACTACAGCTATCAACATAAACTATGAATCTGAAAATCCCCGGGCTTGGAAATCAATCTGTTTGAAATGTAACACTGCTCGTAGTCTTGCTACTCCACTCTCTTGTTGTTCCATAAAAGTTGTATTTGTTCTCGTAAATTAAGTTATGTTAATGTAATTGTATGTTTATATATAGTAATTGTAAAAGGGCCCACAGTAATTGTTTTTTATACTGTTGTGGCGACCCTGCCACTCTTTGTGTGGTAAAGTTATAATATAATATAAACTTGTGCAATCAAATGTTTTTTATATGTAACCACAGTCATTATATAGTCGGCAGTTTACTAGATAGCTGGCTGCCGGTCATCTAGTCGCTTTGTATTTCGTGGGTGGTTTCTTCAGGTGAAAATCTTTTGCCGACAATTTTCCAAGCGAAGTTCAATTACGTTCTGGAATGGGCATAGGCCGTATAATAGTGATGTAAACCAACACAACATTTCATGTAAGAGCACTAGAACACAGCAATACATTTTATTTGGTGTAGGAAGAAATATTAACAAGTTCATGTGTATATGTGTAGTTACTTGTTATTGTGAGCAAGTCATCAGTGAATAAATATTTTTGCCGATCCCCTATGGCTATGCTTACCCTGGTCCCAGAGCTCTTTGCGAGGCGAAATAAAAAAGAGGCAAGAAGGAAGAGCCTCTGGTCACATTGGTTGCAAATCACAATTCCACACTTGATCAGGTTCAGAATTCGAATCTTGCATTTGATTGGCCAATCACATGCAAGATTCAAATTTCGAACCTGATCAAGTGTTGAAGTGGGATTTGCAACCAATGTGACCAGAGGTTCTTGCCTCTTGTTTACATAGATGCCAAGTCTCGCACATTAAGCGTGTGACACACGCCTCAGCATTATTTCACACGCTTCAGGTTGATTATGTCATGCATAAACAGATTCATGTGCCTCTAAAATCTTGTTTTTGAGAACCAAAAATAACTCCAAAATATATTCTCAGAACGCTTGAAATGCCATTTCTGAGACCCAAATTTTAAAAAAAAATTGGGGGGGACGCCCCCGGACCCCCCTACTATACAGTTGCTGCAGTATGTTGATTTCACAAGTGGACAAAACACGACCTTGGCATCTATGTGTTTATTCCGACTCGCAAAGAGCCTCTGGAACTAGGGTACCCCTATGCTCTGAAATTAGAAATTGCAGGCAAGGTCCTAAAACTGCTGGCTATTTCGAACCCTGAGCTGCAAGTCTATTTTCACTTTGTTTTGTACTGCGGGTTTCCGGCTTTTTTGTACAGTACAACCTAATGACTCAATCGATTCCATAGGTCTCAGTCTCCCTCCCCCCGGCATTTGTTGGGCATTCTCAACTGTACTTGCTCCCAGGGTCTGTAATAGTCCTTTATCAATTTATCTATCTAGAATTAGATACATCGTTGTGTTCAACAGCATGTCGTCATCGCAGTGATAATGAAAGATTTAAAGGTGCTGTGAAAGCCAGATTCTTTCAAGACCAGGTGGCTGAGGCAAAAAAATTGATTCTGTTGGATTGCTGTCGAAAAAGTAAGAACAAACTTTTTATTTTGTATCAGTAAATATACAGGCAAGCCTGGAAATAAGCGTCCGGTCACAGTCATTGACTGGCACAAAAATACGTGATTTGTAGTGTTTTGCCAGGCACAAATTTGATTGTGTCTGTCACTTTGTCCAGCACTCATTTCAGTGGTTAAACTAAACTAAAATAACTTTTCTCTTGACAAATTCTCTATTATTTGTGCTATAAATTTAAAATTATCCGCTTTATTAAATACACAATGCTTTATATAGTGTTTCCACAATGATAAAAATTCCTTCTTGTAGACCCATTGCATTTGACGTCACAAATCCTTAGAGTGTCCTCCAGATGCTCCCTAACAATATCTATTCGGGTACAACAACCACATACAGCACAAAAATGAACCATTTTAATTCAAAATTATTATAAAGTTTTACAAAAATTGCTTTGTTTACCTAAGTTGTTATGCATAGATTGCTAATTTGTCCTCCAGGGACCGGTTGTTCAAAAGCTGGTTAACTTTAACCCAGGGTTAGCGCTAACCCTGGGTTAAAATCCTTAACCCAGGGTTAGTTAACTCTGAGTTAAAACTGCGTTGTTCAAAGCTGGGTTATAGGTGCGGTTACTTAACCCGGGGTTAAGACATTTAACCCAAGGTTAAATTTGTTTTAAAAATAAATGTAATATAAGAACGTTTTTGATTGGCTGGCCCCGTGTCGAAACTAGGGATAGAATGGGATAGATGGGAGAAATATTGTTTAACTAGGCAACTGAATTCAAATTGAACATTTCAGACGTGGATTTAAGAATTTTGAAAGTTTCAAGAAAAAATATAAATGTAAATAAATCAATTTTGGAATTTTAGGCAGTGCTTGAATAATTAAATTTGAGAACAAATTCCCAGCCAATCAAATGGACTTCATTTTGGAGTTGAAAAGCATTTTTCAACCCATGCGTGTTTACCCTATAAAACAGAACACGAAAACAGAAAAAGAAGCAGCGAAGTTGTTTTATAGCTTTCAAAAACAGTGTTTTTACTAGTAGGTAATACACTGCGCTGCAAACAGTAGATGTGCATGAACTTGTGACTGTTCAACAAATGGCAAGTGGAAACTTTGTGAAACAGGTGGTGGTACCGGCGAATTGTTTGGCAATACAAGTACTTTTTCTAGAGTTATTTTTTGAAGAAACTTGAGTTGAATGCTCGGCTTTAATAAAACTACAGTCTACAGTTTTGGTGGCGGCAATCGACAAAGATCTTGCGAGGTAAATCCTTTTGCTGTACAGTGTACACAATTTTGATTACGGCATTGTGTACCAAGCTATATTTTGAAAATCGGCAGATGGCAGACGTAGCTGTTTCTTTTGGCGTTTTACAAATTTATAAAGTACTTTTCCACAGTATTAAAACACAATAAAATAGTAAATTGTGATGTCCATGCTTAGACCATAGCCATAGCACCCCAAAATGGATAGAAAGTTGCCGTATCTTTTACTTTGAGCTCGTATATAAATTCAAAGCCGACTTGTAGCTATATAAAATCATTTCAAAGGCTCATACGGGACAAATAAGAATCTTAATA